CACTGCAATCATGGTTGTAGCACCTGAACGCCATTCCATCTTTGTTGCGGGTGTATGGCTTGCATACCATGTCAACAGAGCACGTTGGACATGCAACCACTCGCTTCAACACTCCTCTAACTCTGAGGAACTCCACGAGACCCGCAACAGGCCCATTCATAACAGGTTCCAGCACATTCTGGTAGTAGCTAAACATAAGGGTAAAAACCTACTAAATATAAAGGGTGGATTTTTACCTTAAAATTTCTAAGGTCCCTTTTTTTCCCCACGTGGGGAAAAAAAAGGACATGATCCCAAATGTATATCTTAATAACAGCACATTACTGGATGTTAAAATATGACGATAATAACTATGTTACACTATACAAATCATCTAAAATCGTTTATATTTCTGTATTTAAGAGTTACAAACACATATAATTTTTTATAAACTTTCTTCCAATTTTATCATTGTTTACATGATTATATTATTTTTTAATATAATCATCAAAAATTGTGTATTAAATATTTGCTAAGCTATATTAAAATAATAAGATAACCATGCAGTTTATATGTAAAAGAGTACATAATAGTTAAAGAAAGAAAATTAAAATATTTTTTGGTTTAAAGCCTATGTGTTCATATAAGAACACAACATAGTATTCGCTATATATGTAAGGTAACTAGAAAAAATGTTATATAATTTTAAAGATACCTTGTAACGGATAACAATTTTATAATTAAAAACTTTCAGAAAACAGTCTCCAAGTAACACCAAAGCTTATAATTTATGTACTTACAATAATATTAGTCGCAAGTTGCTTTGAATATGTTTTTGGATGGAATTTTTCACTATAGTTATAAACGCTAATAGTCAAATTTAATTTCGTATAAGATCTTGTTTGTGTATATTCTTGAAAAACGACGTCTATAATGGATTTCATATTAAAATTTTTGATAATAACAATGATATAATGCAAAATACAATTCTTTACAAATGCATCAAAAACAGTTTTAATTAATCTCCATGCAAATATTTGTAATATGTGTGTTAGGATCATCACTAACAAAAAGGATTTTATTTCCCTAAAAACTTACCCATTTTTAAGATGCAGAGAGTAAAAGACCACGTTAAATTACACAAAAAATCGTTGCTCAGAACACATCTAAATAATAAGCATACAGGGATAGCCAACCACATACAATATATAGAACGTTCTTTTAAATATATCTTCAAAGCAACTTAAATAAATATAATAATAAATTTAACATTAATAAAAAGAAATCAAATCGCATAAAGCATACAGACATAAAAGTTTAAGTTGTAGATTTAGTTAAATTGGTAAATTCTATATGTTGATAATGAAAGTAGTTTAGGCAAATTATATAGTTTTTGTACACGAACCTAATAGAGAGAAGAATAGTTTGGTCTTGTTATCAGCGGGGATTTTACTAGGTTGCAAACTAAATCGATATTGTAACAAGTTTTTTATCTATTGTGACACCTTTCAAAATATTGTATATTTAAACATTTATAAACGAACAAAAGATTTGCATGTTTAGTTGATACATTATTTAGTTTGGTGTTTAAAAAGTAACTTGCTAGCTGAAGATCAGTAATCATCTCTGATTTTAACGGATGAATTTACTTTTACTTACAACAACACTTTTTATCGTATTGATTGTTCAGTTTTTATTGAAGAAACAAATATTTTTAATTGTGGTACTTGAAAATACACAAGTACGCTCTTAGTTTTTAACATCTATAATAAAAACATTTTAGTTCTTGCCTATAAATCAAGTGTATATAACAAAATATCCTTAGTTGTTTCGTATTTTAAAGTACATATAATTTAATCAACGTAAGTATTTGACGCCTCCTATTTAACTTGATAATTTAATGTGTTAAGATATTATTATAACCTAATAATATAGGGTAGCCGAGTTAAATACCAATTGCTTAATAAAACAAGAGATCAAATGCTTTTTAAAGTTAAATAATTTGCTAAGTGCAATATAAAGAAAGTATTGGCAACCAAGGACAACATTTGTATAAATTTCAATCAAATTCAAATGAAAACAGCTTATTTAAAACAAAACATTTATTACAAATAAGAACATTGCAACGAATCAAATAAACAATACCAAAATTCAATATAGACACATAATATTAAAGCACCAGCCAACCGTGTTATATTAAAATTGTCTTATATTAACTATACACAAAATTTATTAAGTTCTAAACTCTATACATTTTAGAATGTTTAATGGATCAAATAAATAGATATTTATATTTGCAAATGTTAAAAAAATCCAGGATGTTATATAATTTTATACTCTAGTATTTTAAAATATAATGTCATCTAGTCCATACTTGTAAATAGTATGATAGTGAAAAAGCATTACCATTGTGTTAGCTTTCATGCTCACATTCTCTATTGTTTGTGAGATTATTTACCATTTAAAGCTATCCTTTTTAATTCAACTCACATTTTAACGAGCACAAGCAACTTTTCATACTCTTATCATATTTGATATCCAAAAACGTAAACTTGGTAATTTAAAATACATATATGAAACATAAATAAAAATTGAATAATATGCATCAAGATTTATTTCAACGTTTGATAATCATATAATTACTATTTTAAATAATAAGAATATTAGTATTTTAACCTTTTACATTAACGTTTTGTTCTCTATGACCTACTAAGAAAGTTAAAAGTTTGATGTAATTTTGGGTATGTTGTGTTGTGATATACCTCAAAATACAAAAATCTATTAACTGAAATTTATAATCAAATGATGTTTTAAAATATCTATAAGAGTTAAATAAAGTTTATATAAATAATCGTTACTTAAAAGTGCTTTATATACAGTTAGAATATGTATATACCATTTTTGAAAATTATACGTTCTTATTTTAAGATCTGTGGTATTTTAGAAAAATATGAAGAATGTTATATTGTAATTACTCGAGTAAAATATCAAACTCCTAGTGGTTAATATAATCCTAAGAGTAACAATGCTTCAATAAAAATTAATACAAATAGTAAAAGCAAATACATAGAACATTAGCAATTACAAATTTTAGTTGTAGATAGTTTGTTGCAAAAAGTTCCTAAATGTTCAAAATAAAAATTATATATTATACTAGTTAGTTGAGATGCGATAATATTTTGAATAGGCCTTTTCAACAACCTGTAAGAATTTCTTAATCTTTGCTTGACCGTTTAATTAAGAATAAAAAGGCTCTTCATTGCAGAGATAAGATATTCGATGCAAGACAAGTTGCTTAGATCTAATACTTTTATTGATCATAATGATACCTTACAAGACAATGCTATAATATTTCAGAGAAAATTGGTATGCACAAAACTTTAATACTCAGGTTTTCTACATTGACTATGTTCTTATAGGTTATCTGACCTGATTTATGCAGAATTAATAGTGTTAACAAATACTATTTACGTATAAACCATTTGTCCTTTCCACGTTGAAATGCCTCAAGACGAATAATCAAAATGATGGCATCTGAGATAGTTTTTATAAAATTACATACAATAATATCTTTGTATTCATCTCTTAGATAAAAACATTCAAAACCAATAATTCAGCATTATTGCATATGTAAAGTTATTTCTGAATTTTTTAATCAATAAAGCCCTATAGTAACAATTATATTATATGGTTGTGTATTTTCTAATCTAATGTTAATTTTGCTATGCAAAAAAGATCTCTTAAATTATAAATAGAGTTTGTTTTTCGCATCTTATAAATATGATTTATTATTTTATTGAATAAGAAAATTAGGTCATTTATAAAAATTTATGTGTAAGTAAGTGTCTATTTTTCAACAAATACAGTTTACATCAGAGTTTAATATATTTTGTTATGTTTTGAACTGGTGTTATGTTTTAAATAATTATTATTTGATTCTATAATTTCATTAAAATATTGTATATATGAAAGGGTTAAGTTTTGAGAAGAACAAAATGATATATAAGATTCAAAAGTACAAAATTGTGATTATCATTAACTAAATGTTTGATAACTAGCATTGTTGATTCAAGCAGTCAAACCATTAAAATAGTGATTTTAAGGTAACAATTGTTTTGCTTATATGACATCGTTAAATAACTACATATATAATTTATCATAGCCCCATAAATTATATATGTAGTTATTTAAATAATTATTTACAAATAAATGATATCACGTGTCTATATATTGACAGAATGCTTTATTTTAGCTATATCATATATTACGTGTATTAAATACGATGAAACTATATAACAATACGAAGTGTTTTACATAAACATATATCTTTTTAAATACACTCTATGAATTTATATATAGTTATTTCATTGAGTTAATATATTGTATAATATGCATACTATATATTTTAAGATTAAAATACAAATATTTTATAATCATATTGAACATTAATATGTGAAATTTAGACATTTAATTATTACATTTTTGAGTTTGTCTTTTCTTTTTATCGTATAAAAAAATAATCTATACACGCATTGTTTATATAAATCTGTGCACCTCTTTCTGTTGTCTTTTTTTGCTTAGGTTTCTTCATACTTCTAGAAAAACAATTTATTAATGTTAGTATACAAACAATTTTTTACAGTCGTAGTAAACCTTTTGATGCTCTTTGTTAAAAATCAATAATATTCTGTTCGTTTTTTGTTTAAACAGTTATGCTGTATAACAAACCCTTTTTGTAAAGTAATGCTATAATTCAACACTGTTTATATTTGGTTACATCTTCCCTTTATGAATACTTTATATAAGCAAAGTAGTAATTTATGTTTAAATCTAAAATCATATTTGGACATTTGCCATTATAAATCAATTGATGGAATACGGATTGTCTATAAACAAATCGTTTTTATTGTTTATATGCATGTTTTATTGTCGTTATTGACAACATTCCTTGTGTGCTAAATTCTAATTTAATTTATATCTTTAAATATCTATATTATTACGATAATTACTAGTCAAACTACGTGAGAAGACGCACGTTATGAAATAATTATTTATAATATATTATTATGTATATTTCTAACAATAATATAATTACATGCTTTTATTCAATTGACATTCTAGAATATTATAAAAAGCCATAATGATATTAACTATTTTTAATAAATTATGCACATTTGAATTGGGTGATTAACTCACAGGATCATGTCCTTTTTTTTCCCCACGTGGGGAAAAAAAGGGACCTTAGAAATTTTAAGGTAAAAATCCACCCTTTATATTTAGTAGGTTTTTACCCTTATGTTTAGCTACTACCAGAATGTGCTGGAACCTGTTATGAATGGGCCTGTTGCGGGTCTCGTGGAGTTCCTCAGAGTTAGAGGAGTGTTGAAGCGAGTGGTTGCATGTCCAACGTGCTCTGTTGACATGGTATGCAAGCCATACACCCGCAACAAAGATGGAATGGCGTTCAGGTGCTACAACCATGATTGCAGTGGATA